ATAGAGTTAATGATAGTGTTGAGTGAGGGCAATGAAGTCATTCCCATGGAATCACCTGCTAAGAGTATGTTCATTTAAATCAGCTTGGCAGGTTGGGTGTGGAAGCTTGGCTCTGTTGTTTGAAGGCAGTCACCTTTGGGAAAACCCATTCTTATACAACTTCTCAAGAGTGAACATTCTCCATAGCTTTTTGTTGCTCTATTTATTTGTTTGTCTATCAAATGTCCAGACTGCCCCACTCCAAGGGGCTTGGAGATAGCTTTACAAGATTAAGAACAAGAAAAAGTAAACAAAAAATGCACAACTACCCCCAGGGAATAGATGAAAAAGCTTCTCCTGCATCACTCCCAAGCTAATATCCACAACACTCAATCTTGCTGGGGTTTACTTTGAGATGTTCCTCCTATTCAGATCTTGACAGCCTGTAGACCAGGTTTTTTTCAACCTTGGCAACTTTAAGATGGGAGGACTGCAACTCCCAGAATTCCCCAGCCAGTCCTCTCAGAGTTTCTTAGAAAATCACCACCTCTAGGATTAACTTACAGTGATGGTCATATAAGAGCAGTCACAACCAACATCATGTCAGTACTTTACTCACGAGAGTTGGGCCTAATTAATACTTAGAATAGAGACTTTCCAAATGACTGTAGATTAATCTGGGATATTTGTTTATTTGTTATAACTTGTGGGTGACACTGGCAAACCATTTGGTCATCTACTACATGGTTGTGTTCATGTAGACACCAAGAGTCCAACTTGACCTTGAGGATCACAGGTTCTTGAGGGACTCAACCTTGAGGGACTTAACCAGTTGGCTAATTCAGACAGTGACCTAAGGTTGAAACATGCCAGATAAATGAAGAACCTTCTTGAAATTAATTCCTTTCAACATCAGTTACGAAGGAGAATTTTGAGATGGGCAGTAGAAAGGGAAGAACAATTCAGATCTGTGGTGCAAATACAGTCCAAAGACAATATAAGTGTGAAACGAACATTTTCTTAATCATTCATCAGTTTTATTTAAAATGCAAACATCACTAATCATGCATATATGTTGACGCTTGACATTTGTTAGTTTTCTGCCTTCTGTTTGTTGTTGCATAGGGACATTGTCACAATATATATAAAACTATGAAATACAAAAAAAACCTAACAAACATTTTCAAAAAGGTTACAGCAGAGCAAATGGGTGTCTGACAGATGGCTGTATAACTGCAATACTTCGATGTAGTGACTCATTAAAACACGAAACCATTTAGAGAAGTGATCCATAAAAGCAGGAAGGTGATGCTGGGGAAAACGGACAAGGAGAATGACAAGATCTGTCATGGATTGCCCCAAAGGGAAGATATGTGTGTAAACTTCTGTAATTACCCCGTATTTTTGTTCCTGTACTGACACAGAGTATATATCTATTTATCTATAGCACTCTATACATTAATGCACAAGTAATTCCATGCAGTATATCGGTAACAGTTTCACAAGGAGGAGATTTGGGTGGACCTTGGACCTTAAGTGCATTTTCCATCCAGAAATCCCTCTTACCGCTATAATTTTATAACCAGGCCCCAGATGAAATCTTTAGCAGGTTTCAGCACATCAAAAAAGACTTCAGGAGGCTGAGGAGAAGATTCCTTATTCCAGGCTGGGAGATGACATCTTGAACAGAAACAATCCTTTGAGGATTGAAATCTCATCAGAATATTTTCCAGATTCCCACAATCTAAGTCTGGGCAAGGATGGAAGATTCCAAAAGATAGGAGAGAAAAGGATAATAAATACTGAAAGGACATGGCAGATGAGGAGACAAGATGCAGCTGTTAACCATCTCAAGATGATATCCTGCTTGGGGTTCTTAGTTTGGTCAATAATGGAGGCCAATATCTTTTGGCCGATTCCATCGTCCTAACCACCAGATTGTTACCACTTTACATGGTTCAAATTCTGGAATGGCACAATTAGGAAACCGAGGTGTAGATGTTTGCTTGCTTAAAGGCAAGCCATTAGAAGAAGCCAATCACTACAATTATATACAGAATATGCTTTCTTTAAAATGATATGCATAAAACTGATTTGCAGAAGGACACTGTTCCAACTTCCAGATATCCTGTTTAACAAGGAGTGAACTTGAACCAATGGCTTACAGCCCCAAAGGCCTTACTGACTGACACCCTGATTTAGAGCTGCTTAATCTGCATAATTTATTCAGATTAAGCACTTCAACTGCTTAAGATAATCAGGTTTAATGCCCTGAGGGAAAGCTGCACCTCTGGAAACAACAGCAAATTATATGCAATAAGGAAAGTTCTCTATTACAATAAATATGAAGCCTTGTGAACATAACGCATGGACAGATAGTGATACGCATCTTTTTATATGACACAGTTGTAAACAGCTCCCAAACAAAAAAAAGGAAAAAAGGTGTGGTGGAAAAACGGGGCCATAACAGCAGTTTAAAGGTCTTCTCTCTAGTATTGTCTAATGAATTCCTAAACTCCACCACACTTCAACTAGATGAGACGGTGAGACATCTCCCACAGAGAGCAAGTCCATCTGCTGATTTTCCAGGTTGTCATTTGCAGACTGGGAAAGAGGAGATGCGGTGAGGACCCCTGACTGGAAATGGAAATTGAAAGATGAGCATGAAAGCTGAGTTATGGCTAAGATCAGAGATCATTTGCTATGGAAGATCTTATAGATCATGGGAGTCCAACATTGGCCACTTTAAGACCTGTGGACTTCAACTCCCAGAACACCTGAAGTCCACAAGTGTTAAAAGTTGCCAAGGTTGGACACCCCTGCTCTAGACTTCAACAATTAAGAAGGTCTTGCAGGAGAGATCTAAATAACTTCAGAGTCAACCCCTAAATTGAAGCAAACAAACACCAGGAAACTCGAAGAGCAGGAACAAGATTTATCTTTCTCTCTTGCCTTGCTGGACCAAGCTTTCCCACCCATTAACAATCTGAAGCAGAATTTTCATCAAATTAGGACACAGTTTAGCCTCATTAACATTAATCAAACAGTGGCCAGCAAAGCTAAAACGAGGTTCTGTCGCCAGACAGGAGACAATTATTAGCAAACCCTGAGTGTTTTGATTCCATTTACTGTTCTATATGAAATGGTGATGAACACAAAAAGGATTTTGAAAAGCCTCAAAGCACATGGTTGATGTTGCCACTAAACCCTAAATGCAAAGCCTGAAATAAATAGATAGGTGATGCTTTTCCTCTCGGTTGTCTAAAGCCATAGTCTTGACCCAAGAAAGTGTAAATATCTCAGAAGGAGACCCTCTACTCTTCAATAGGAGGAGAAAAGAGCCCATGGCTGGCTAGGTGGCCAGGACCAAGCTTTGCCCACACAAAGATAGCTGGATTTAGTTAATGAAATGACAGTAGTACAGCAAAACAAGTATTTTAAATCCTGGGATAGGAACCCTGCTGATCCAAAGGAATACAGTAGTGGATTCAGTGGAATTGCCCACTTCTGACAGGTAAGATGACTTTTTTTATTCTATGCAACTCCAGTTATTCAAGCAAGATTAATAATATCACCACATTGGTTATCTTCAGACTACATCATGGTTATTAGCTCTTTGGCATAATTCTTGGGTCATGCCTGTTTCTTGGGCCGCAAAAGGAAAAAGAGCACTCTAAGCAATGGCTACCATCTCCTGAAGATTAAGGCTAGGGTTGTGTTTAAGGCCATCTTCCTTTCCCCACCTTCCAGGTGTGTTGGGATGGTACTTCCTAACATGACTGGCTGGCCCCAAGTGGAAGGAGACCGTTTAAGGCATGGTAGAATTTATTTTTTGAATTCTGTGTTCATGAAAAGGAAAATATGTTCTGATGCTCTTGGAGAGCAAATCACGTTCTGCAGGTAATTGAATAAAAGGAGATGTTTGGGGTAGATGGGATCATACTGTTCTCTGTAGTCCATCTCTCTGTAAACAGTTCCTGATCATCATCAGTCTGAACCTTTGTTGCTAGCTATATCTTTATGAGGACACCTTGCTATAGACATTTCTTGCTAGCTGTTATGAGTGTTGCCAAGTCCTGCCTTTGGTAAATATCTCCATCCTTAGCTATCAAAGGAAGTTGGAAAGTGAAGTTCTGGTTTTTGGAGAACCTCAAATGAAACTTCTCATGGGATAGAGTCACAGGACAATTCTAGTTCTTCCTCTGAGCTTATCATGATGCCAACAAACATGGTCTTGAGAACTTATTAGGATGGGTCAGAGCATTATGCTCCTCATGTTGAAACCACACGGAAAGCAGGGCTAACTTCAAATTGTGTTTTGAAATGAATACTGGAATATATCTAGATGTAGACCCGCTTTTATAGAGCAGGTAGTAGTACAAGGGGAGGAGGGCTTGATAAATAGCACCTATCAGCTATGCTTTAACGGGCAGCATATTATTTTTTTGCAAATCTATATACAGTACAGTTATGTCTATGTGCACACATGTGTTTTAAGTGGCAAAACGGAATTATTGCAGTCGGAAGAAAAGTCTTGGTTAGAACACCTTTGGAATGTAGAGATGATTGCATCAATCATAAACCCCAGTTGGGAGGAATGGAATTTGCTTTACTGTGCTACAGTCGGTTGCATTTATATTAGCAGTATTTTTTTTAAAATGGAACACAATCATAGGGAAAGCACTCCATGCATTGAAATATAATCTTGGAACAAGCCAAGTTCAACAGCAACAAGGTTTCTAGGAAAAAAAACATCTCCCAACCTTCTGGCTGGCTTCCCCCAACCCTAACTTGAAAAACAGAGATGAGTCTTATCGAAAACTTCCACATCTGTCGAGAAAGCAACCTCCAGAGCTGGAATTCTGAGAGTTACATCTAAAGAACATTCACTTCAGGAGGGCTGCATTATCAACCTTGGACCCAATCCCTCCCTCCCTCCCTCCCTCCATCCATGCCAAGCAAACACAGGGCCCAGTTTTAAAAGAAATCACCTGGAAGGGTTTTTTTTTTTTTTACATATACATGGATCTCTCCTGCTGAGTTAAGCTGTTTAAGCAGTCACAAATCCTTTGAGGAAGGACTTGGGTCCATGTTGACTGGTTCCACTTGGATGCAGGAGTTCCTTCCTCTTGGTGGGACTTCTGGAGGGATGAGTGGTCCAAACTGCTACACAAGAACATGGGGAATCTTTTGGAAGATTGTAGAGTTTGCTGGTTGGAGGAGAAGATTTAGGTACGTCCTTCAGGCCCTACGCTACACTAACAATGAGGAAAATTGTGAAGTGCTGTTGAGCTAAAACACCATCTTTTTAACACTTTCTAGATGCAGGTTGTGCTTCCACTGCCCGCCAAATGACAGCAATTCCTGATCACCATTGCTTGCTTCCATCTGATTATGTACTGACCATTTTATTGTAATGCAGAATTTCGTAGACTCTTCGGCTTTTAAGCCAAAAAGGGCCGGAAACCAGCGCAAATACCTTGACGAAGTCTGGATGACTCTGAAACACAGTTTTCAGAGGAGTTTTTCTTTTCTTTAAGAGGAGGATATGGAACATTATTCAAATTGATGCCCACTTCATGTCTACTTTTGCGCGAGGCATACCGAGAAGCAGGTAAAAGGGTTCAGCTCAGAACTTCATCTCTGGAAGCTGTCACAAGCTGTAATCCCTACAGAGCACCATTCTGCCCTTTGGTACATAAATATAATGTTCCCCAGTGTAAATATATTTTTCTAGATTTAGAATAAAAACATGATTAAGGCACCTACTTCAGTTTTTTTTTTTAAAAAATCACTTGCCCCCTGCGATTCTTTTATGAGTATAAACTTTTTATACGTTTTTTTTTCTTCTTCTTCTTGCAACAGGAAACTGGCGGTGGTAGAATAATCTCAGCATGAAGTCACCTGAAGAAAGAGGAAAAAAATGAGGACTAGTTGATTGAAATTGTGGAGGAAATGGTCCAGTCTCTCCAAGAATTTACCCTAACTGTGAAATGAAATCATTTGAGTGCAAAGATTAGCCTTGCTGTGTGCAAGGAAGGGCTGAACCCACGGTTCTGAGTGCAAAAAGTGTTTATCAAACAAGGCTGCTGCTGGATGTGTCTTCATGGTACATAAATAGATCCCTGAGTAAGAGGAGAGTTTGGTGGAGGAAAATTAGAATCAACCCGGCTGTAGAGACATTCTTGGTTTTGCATTTTGGTTTCCCTACAAAATTTCCTTTGACACCTGAGCAAAAGAACTACACAAAGGCGCATCTTCTTAAGGCTTAAAAATACAGAAAGAGAGAGAGAGAGACAGAAAAAAAAAAGAAATGTCCAGAATAGGTTCCTGGAAGGACCATGGAGGAAAACATGTAAAACGCGAGTCCTACGGTGCCATATTTCCCCCCCCCCCTGCAGCAACGTTGCAGGAGAAGACCCTTCTCTCTCTCTCATCCCGTTAAAAACAAGGCCAAAGTCTTCTTCCTTCCTTCGTTTAAAGGCAGGATGCCAAGCCAAGCATTACGACGCAAAGGAAAACTCCGAAGAACTGGATGAAAAGGCGGAGGGCAAAGTGCAGGGGGCCTGGCCCAGGGGGGTTTCTAGGGGGAGCTGCTGGGACTGTCCCTGGGGCTGGACCCATCGGACCGGCTATAGTCACTCAGAGACCCCGTCCTGGAGCTGCAGCCACTCCTTCTCTTGAGCATGTTAGGGTGGAAGTTGGCATGGCGGCGGGCGTGCTTGGTGAGGTGGTCGCTCCGCATGAAGCGCTTTTCGCAGAGGGGGCAGGAGAACTTCTTCTCGCCCGTGTGAGTGCGGAAGTGCCGGGCCAGCTCATCGGAACGGGCAAACTTCTTGTTGCAGTCTTCCCAGCGGCATTCGAACGGCCTCTCGCCTGCAGGACACAGAGAAAAGAGAAACGGTCTTGAGGACACCTCCTTGGTTCCATCCAGTCCTTTATTACGCTCACCCCCAGAATTCAAACCTTAAAATAAAATGAAGCAGAATAGAAGTGTTTGGCCTAATTACAGCTGGAGAAATGGCCAAAGTCTGCCTAATTTTACAGAAATTGTCCCTAAAGGTGCTTTTTTTTTTCTAAATGGCAACTGGACTTTTTTTTTCCCCCTTCAGAAACATTTCACTTCTCATCCAAAAAGTTTTTGGGAGCCTTAAAAGAGAGTTGGGGGACTCAGACACAGACCCCAATTAGTCTCAGTTCAACAACCTGCCTCCAGAAGCAGTGAATGCTCCAGCACTGGAAGTTTTCAAGAAGGGACTGGACAGCCATCTGTCTGAAATGGTATAGGGTTTCTTGCCTGAGCAGGGGGTTGGACTAGATGACCTCCAAGGTCCCTTCCAACTTTATTATTATTATTATTATTATTATTATTATTATTATTATTATTATTATTATTATTATTATTATTATTATTATTATTAATAATAATAATAATCTTGAAACTCTACCTTTCAGCCCAATCTTTTCGAACCTCCCTTATCCAGTCCTCGACTTACAATCATTCATTTAGCAACCATTGGAAGCCACAATGGCACTGAAGAAAGTTGCTTACGCCTGGTCCCTGCACCGTCACACAGCATCCCCCTGCTCACATGATCAATATTCTGATACTTTGTGACTGACATGCATTTATGATGGTTGCAGCATTTAGGCATTATGGGACTGCCGTTTGCGACCCTCCCAGCTGGCTCCAAACAAGCGAAGTCAATGAGGGAAGCTGGATTCAGTTAGTGACCATATGAGTCATTTAACGACCAGAGTGATTTCCTTAACCACCCTAGCCAAATGATCATAAAATTGGGCACAACCCACTTAAAACCACCTTGCACAGCAATGGAAATTCTGCTCTGGATGATCATGTTAGCTCTGTACAGCTTATCCAATGGAACATAAAGCTAATCTTTCTTTCATTTCCCACCATGCTATAAAATGCTTCTATTGCTTTTCCTAATCTTGGTGAGTGAGCTTATCTTCCTGGGCAGCCCGAATGCCTGTTTCTAGGGAGCGTGGCTTAAAATTATTATTTTTATCTTCCTGTGGACTAAGGAATAATAAATAAACTGCAAAGTTGCTTGAGGTTTGGTGGGCCAACGAAGAAGGGGCCGTGATGAAATTGTCAATCTCTTTTGTCCCTTGATTTATATCTGACATGCTCCTTTTAATATAGCCAGCCCATAAATTCAGAGGACAAACAATGGGGGGAGGGGGATGTCACCACACCTTCATAAATGCAGAAGAAAGGATTATTGGTCAAGTTACCGGCAGTTTCTACAGCAAGGAAGATGAGCAAACAGATGTAAATTGCAGAAGGTTGACAAAACAGTTTGACTGTTCCAGTTTAGCTAAAGGACCTCCTCCCCCCCCCCTGGTTCCCACCTATTAAAGAACAAAATTGCATTTCATTTGGATGCTCAGACCAGCTATGTCTTCCCAAAGGACAAAAATAATTGCTACAACCTTGAGGATGAAACAACCCTCCCCCTGTTCCTTGTGGGACAAGACCCTATTGCTCTATTTTCCTGTAATGTCGGAGCTGGGTCTGTTAGGTTAGCCCAGCATTTCTTATTTTCATAAATTATGAAAATAAATAAAATAAATAAAATAAGCCTGGCACGTCAGCCCTGCCCCAACTTGGTCCTTTAGGCAAGAAAGACCCTCAACTCCATTGGTAGTGAAAGGTATATTTTACTAAAAGCCAAGTGGATTACAGTATAGTAATGGTGGAACTGAAGTTCGCACAGCAAACTTTCCCGGTTAACTTTCCCTGTTCAGTTCCTCCCCCTTGCTATCCTTTGTTAGATGAAGATAACCAATGATATCGTTATTAAATGACTTAATCAATAAAGATCTATTCTATTCTACAATCTATTCTATTCTACTCTACTCTACTCTACTCTACTCTACTCTACTCTACTCTACTCTACTCTACTCTACTCTACTCTACTCTACTCTCCAAAAGGTTTCAGAGTTTATTTCATAATTCTGTTGCCTTCACTTGAGGAGGCGATGGAGAGAATAAAACTTATTTATGTTCTCCCATGACCCCCAGCAGGATGTTTGATGGCTTCCAACTGCCTGTTCTCTTGGGTATAATATGCACAAAGCCTACCGTGATGGATAGATTTGAACTTTTTCCCTGGTTCAGGCTTCCAAATGCAGCATCTGAAGTAGCTTCTTTCTCTCCCTGTCTGTAGTTTTGTATCTATATTTATCACTATATCCTAAAGCAATTGGGACTTTAGGATTTTGATTGAAATAAGATGGAGCTCTTCTGAGGTTGCTTGGTCCCTGTGAGAACAGACTGCAGGGGTCTAATCCTGCAAGGAACAGCTTATGTACATAATGTCCTACTCTGCTTTTCTACGTAATATCAATAAAGCAGAATACTTGTAGCTCAAGGTTGAAATGAGGGGTCCTTGGTGCTCTCTGAGCTTGGTTGCTTTCTTGCAGACATTTTATTATCCAAACAAGATAACATCATCAGTGCTTAGAGGGGAGTTGGGTTTGCTAATTTGGGTAATGAACCCTCTACAAGAAAACAACCAAGCTCAGAAGGCACCAAGGACCCTTCTCTATAGCATCTCCTGAGCTGTCCTATTCCCTTTTTCTCTGCAACCAGGATGGAGTGGTGGTGAGGATGTGGTCATATCAAGGGCCC